ATGATACCTCCCCTGTTTTGCTCTTCTTGTGTGGAAAGCAGAGAGTTAGAGGTAGACGTGAAGTGGGGCAGAGAGTAAGGAGGCAAGCCAGGCACTGAGGCAAACACCCAAAAGACTTGCTTTTATGGAAACATGCAAGTGCACAGACCCAAGGGCGAGTACTTTCTTAAATTCTAGATGTCCTGGTGCCTTGCTTGGCTTACCCTAGGCCTACCAAGTGGTAAAGCATCCTGATCTCTTTTTTATCTCCTTGCTCCGGTAATGCTAGCCTTTATCTAGCCCCCAATTCAATAAGGCTATCATTTTAACATCTTACAGACCTGTCCATATTCCTTAAAATATCATGTGACACTCGGCCTTGTTATGTGTTCTGGCTCTTTCTCCCCCTCTATGTATGTATGTGTGTGTGTGTGTGTACGTATATGTGTGTGTGTGTCTGTGTCTGTGTGTGTGTATGTATGTATACGTGTGTGTGTGTGTCTGTGTGTCTGTGTGTGTTCTTCCTCTAGGTATTTCTGAACCAGTTTTCAGCTGTTTTAAGGATCAACCCACATTTTTTTAGGTAAGCTAAAGACAAATGTGGGCCTATAGGCAAAAGAGGCTCCATGCTTGACCATGTGGCCCTCTGTCCATAGGCCTGGCTTCATGTGTCTTGGAAAGAAGAGTTGGGTAGGTTCTCTCAAGCAGCATCCTTTGGCCCAGTTGGGAGAAAGGAACAATTTGAGGCATGGGAAAGGGACTGGGCAGGCTTATAGAAAACTTGGTAACTGGTCCAAGTGAGACAATAGATAACCACTGCTCCATCCTTGTGAGATAGCCTGGAATGTGTGTGTATGTGCAGTTTAGGGAGGAGTACTTCCTCATTTTATCTGCTTCAAGATGACAAATCTGTACAGTGGCTTGGAAATTATAAGTCCCTAGGCAAAACTGTAGGGATGGACAGGTCAGTAGAGACCCATGCCAAGGTTGGAATATATGTATTTCCTCCCCCCGCCCCCGTGTCTGATACACGGGCACAGAATGATAAAAATGCCGCTGTTACGGGATGATGGATTTTGGGGCCATTTCAACCCATCAAGTTGTGCAGGGATTTTTCATCTGGCCCTGACACACAGTCACCTGTCCTCTCCTAAAGTCCCCATGAAATTTTAGCTACCTGCAGGACCACTTGGTGCACTCCTCTTCATCCTTTTCTGCCCCTGCCCGGGTATAGGCTTCTCTCAGCTAATGCTGAGGGGAGCTGAAAGATCCCCAACCTTCCAAGATATCAGGCCTCACTTCACAGAGACTGAGGCTTTGGATTTCCAAGTTGATGTTGTCTGAGGATTCACTAACTAACTCCAGCCCAGAGTGTCTATAGTTCTGACAATGCCTCATGTCAGGCAATGCTTAGCTGAGCTACTCCAGAACGTTTCAGAGATCTCTCCAATGTCTACTACCACATCTCCTCACAGGAGTTCCTATAAAAATGCTTGGGAATGGTCAGATACCCTTGGCTGTCACTGAACTGGCAACTCTCTGGGAAGCCTTCTACAGGCAGATGTCTTACCAGGGAAACGGGGACCAGATGTACTCAAGATCTCAAAAGAAATTAATGGCAATAAGAGTCTGTGGTAAAAATATCTGTGTGCTTGCTCACTGAGCTTGTTCACTCAGCTCCTGTTCTATCTAAGGACCCTTTAGGCTTAATTATAGAGTTCAGGCATTCATTGGGTTTTTGATTAATTTTCTTTTCAGCCTGGAAAGTGTGTGTGTGCGTGTGGCAGGTCTTTGTCCGTGAGTCTGTGTGTGTGAATGTGTGTGCGTGCGTGTGTGTTTATGTCTTTTTTTCAACTCAGTTGGGAGCTGACTCTATCAATGTTTAATTGTGCCCTCTGCTCTTAACAAGAACACTCAATGTGCCAAGAAGGCCTTGGAAAGCCATTGTTTCCACTGCCTCCGCCCCATGGGCTGCTCCTGTGTGCGCATTGAGGGACTGCGGGTGGCAGGGCAGTGCTCAGCTGGGACCTCAGCTGTAGGATGCATGCTTCCTGACTGTCTTTGTACTTGTGGTGTTTAAGGGATTCAGAGACCAGGGGAACAGCTTTCCTACTCCATTAATTACAAATGACAACCACCTCCCCCACACCACAGTCCCTGACAGGCATTTTTCTGGGCCAAACTCCCTGGGGATTACAAGGTTCTTTGAGGAAGAAAACAGCTTTCATTCTCTCATTTTTAATGACTCCACTTGGTAGGCAGGGGAGGACTACATGATTGTGCAGGTGACAGTGACTTGCTTTCTTCCTTTTCTTTCTTCTCCTTTGTGCTAAGGGGTAAACTAAGGGACAGCATGATACAGAAGAAGAACATGAGGGTTTAAGCCAAAAGGCCCAGTTTGAATCCTGGCTCTTGGCATTTTTCTGTTTGTGTGCCTATGGATATTCCATTTAACCTCTTTGGTCTTGATTTGTTATCTGTAAAATGGAGACAATGACACCACAACCACCATCATACGACACTTCTTATAAGATTACCTGTGGATGAGAAAATGCATGTGGAAGCCTTTTGTAAAATCTTTTATGAATCATTGCTGTTTTATTTTACTATGCGGAATTGTTTCTTAGATCATGACTTTGGCATTTGAGGTATTTGTGAGAGGGGGTGAGGGAGGGGGATCCAAAATGACTCATTGGATGGAAGGCAGAGAGGGGACTAGCCTCCAACCTCCCAAGTGCTGTGGGCCATAGCAATGACTTGAGGACGTGCTATGCAGGCAGTCGAGAACAAAGATCAAGGGTTCAATATCAAAACAGCTGTCACAGATAGAAAGCAGTCTGGAAAAGTCATTGTTTTTGACATTATAACAAAAGGGTTCTGGACCCAGTTGTTTTTAATTTCTAGGCTAATTGATTTGTGGGCAAATAATACCAGGATAAGGATAATGTTTCTGGCTGGAAACAAAGGAGGACCCCAGGTCTCAGGTAATGTGCCTGTATTGTAAGCTGAGATCTGGGAGATTCAGGCCTTTTCTTGGCCTGTGCTGATTAAATATGTGATCCTGAATAAATGACCTAATTTAAATGGGCCTCAATTTCCTTGGAGATCATAGACTGGAAGATCTCAAAGGTGACCTCATTTAAGAACTTAAGATTTGGTGAAAGGCTCTTTCAAACACAGGAATTTAGAACTCCTGTACCACTAAGCAACCATGTACATAAATGGAATTCAAATATAGTTTGGAGACCACCCAACTAACACCAAAGGCTCAGAATGAGCCCCATTGAAACTGATGGTGTCTGGTGTCAGACCACGCATTCTCAAGGGAATGCAGGCTGGTGGGAAGATGCAGGTGACCACAGCAGAGATCTCAAGGTTAGTTCTCTCCTGTAAGAGATCTTTTTGGCTTGGCAATATCTTGACTAAGCTAAAAGGCAATGATCCACAGATAGTGAGAAAAGGGGTCATCTCCCTGTAAAACAATGATAATTTTAACATAATTGCCTATTGGGCAATTGAGTGTTCTGCCAGATTGATTTCAGAAGTGAGAGACCCAACTGTAGAGTTTGCAGAAGTGACACACAGCAATGGTAAAGCATATTTGCATAGTGCTTTTAGCTTTTAGACGTCCTTTCTCATACATTTTTTTTCCTCAATTTTTATTACATCATTCTCCAGGAAACTGCTTTGGGGTAATTTATTTTAAAAATCTGAAGTGATTCTTTTTAAGAAGGAATAAGTCTAGGTAAGCATGCTGCACCTTGCTTTTAACTATAGACAAGGCTTTGAAAAGCTGTATTATATGTAAATATAATTGTGTGAGTCATATCTTAATGTGCTAGGAACATTTAAAGACTGAAACCTTGCACAGAATTTTTAATATAAACTTATTCATCTGTTGTTATAATTTTAGATGTAAAAAAAATCATATTTTCTTAAAGTGGGACTACATGGCTGAGATTCCAAGATCAGCATCCATTGACCCAAATCTCAAAAAAGTGTCATCTGATTCCATATGAGGGAGAGATTGCTGTTTCTGATGTCACCATGGAGAATAAGCAACCTTACTCTTCAATCTGTAGGTCTGTGAGGTCAGCTCTGCCATTAAAAGGCAGGGAAGCACGGGAAATCCAGAAGTTAACAGCTGAATTATTTCTAAATAGAGTCTTTGCAACTCACCGATGTTACCAATGAGCCATTAATGTGTTGCTATAAATAACTTGCCATCAATAACTAATCTGAGTGAGAGAAGTTGATGGTTGGGAGTGTGAAGTTAGTGCTATATTATTCTGAGTAGCATCCTCTGGGACCAGAGCATGAAGGAAATTAGACTACAGTGCATGGGAAATAAGAGTATTGAGAAAGCTTCCTGGTTTGCCTTCTCTGTCCCCAAACTCTGGAAGATTCGGACTCAATGATGGGATTTATATAATGGCTCTGGACTTGGAAATCTCTCACCTCTGAGATTAGGCTTAAAGAGTCTACTTATTTAGTATGCAACATTGTGAGGATTCTGTAGTCAGTTTACATGAGGTGTTTCTGAACAAGGAAGGACGCACTTCATGATCTGCACCATTGAGAATAACAGGGGCAGCTTTTCTTGGGGGTGGTGGTGGTGGAATGGTGACTTAGGTGGAAATGGTTGGAAATCTTACCACTGTAAACACTGGAAACTCTTTTAAAAGTTTTCTGCTGCTGGACTAAAGGAAAATTGCTTCCCATCTTTATTGGCTGGATCTCAGCAACACAAGATTGCTTAAGGCTCAGACTTTCACTAAAGAAGTCTGAATATTTCTCATATACAGCTGGACAAGCAGTTGAAAATGAATTTTTGTAAGTACAGCTGAAGTTAACCTATGTGGGCATACAGTGTATGTACTAATTGTGTTTAAAGGCCATGAATGAATATTCAGGCACTGTCGGCAAGACCAGTTGTTATTCTTTCTAAACACTGGTGTGTGAGGCATCCATGTGTATGGACAGATGTGTGCCCTTCCTGTGCCGGAACAATTCAGAAACTAAGAATTGAAAATATTGTTCTGATTTGTTGAGACGTTCCCGAAATCCTATATGACGAACATGAAGCTTATACATCTTTGTAATTGAGGGCTGGTGATAGGAATCAGTGATTGTAAACAAAGTCACAGATTGAGTGACTAAAAACTCAAAAGGGACCCAATGCCATAATCACTACGGAAAACAGGAACTATATATCCAATACCGTATATATCATAACTAACAACACTTAGAATGAGCAATCTCTTTGGAAAGAGGTGAGTGGGTGGGAAGCAGCCAGTCTCCATTGGGGCTGCTGATGTCAGCACCTTGGACAGTTCCAAAAGCGCTCTCCCTCAAAACAAGTTTCTTTAGTTTCCTAAGTGTCCCCCTCATTCCAGGGGATATGTTGACAATCTGACCATCAGCTAATACTTGATATTAACCTGTAGTAACACCTTCTCCTCCTCTCTCCCCAGCACCCGGTATCTTTCACCCAATTACCCAAGACCCTCCAGTCACATAAGGAGACTGTCTTACGAACACCTGGTGTGGATGTTTTCACTCTTGCTTCTAATTGGTTGGGAAGCAGCATCTGCCACAGGCACTGTTTAGTTTCATTTCCATCCCCTGCATCTCACAGGAAAGAAATGGTCAATAGTTCAAATAAAAGAATTGTCCTGGTCAGCTCCAAAATATGGCTACTTGCATGGTAATCAGAGCAAGTCTATCAAATCAGTGGTTTCTTTATTCCTAAGAGGAAGGGGCTTTTCCTAAGGGTTATGGTTCTACCACCCAAGGAGCAGCTGTACTCGTCACAAGTAGCTGCAAAGGCTGGCACACCAAGAGGTCTGCTTTGGCTCAGAAACTCAGTTTGGCTCCTGCCACCCCTGGTCACCCCACTGCGGGTCTCAGTGGCATGTGTTCCACACACAGTTGGACAGTCTGCTTTTACTTAGGAGGTATCACAACCAGAGGTGGCCCCCGCTTGGGCCTCCACATGAGGACCTGGGCATCGTTGGCATTGGGCTTCACTAGTGCGTTAGGGGGGATGGGCTCCATCCGGCTCAGGATCCGGGGCTGCTCCTGCTGAGTCCTGCCCACTAGCCGGGCCCGCTGCCCCAACAGCTGAAGAGGGTCCACTTCAATGTCCACTCTCATCCTCCACTTGATGGTCTGCAGAATGATCTTCTCTTTGGTGGTGGTGTTCATGGCCACCAGCCAGGTGGTAAAACTTTGGTCCCTCTTGATTCTTGTGAGCAGTGGCACATTGCTGTCACTCACTGGCACTGCCCATGTCACACTGGGGTAGAAGTTATCATTCATGCTGACAGAGAACCTGGAGATCTTGTTGGTGGGGCCAACCAGAGTCACAGTTTCTGTCGTGTTCCCGTACCATGGGTAGCTCACCCCATCTGAGTCACTGATGGCTTTTACTCTCCCTTCCCTCAAGTCAGGCAGTTCCCAGCTTGACCTGGAAAAGCAGAAGGGATACACAAGAAAAGAAGAGACTTGAATGAATTTTTAAAAAGCTGGAGACATGCCCACCACTTACTAATACAGTCAAATTGTGCAAAATGGGAAGTTTGGAGGGAGTAGGGGAGGGGGTTTAGATCAAAAAGTTCTACGCTGGGTTGTATCAGGATTAAATGAGAAAAAAACCAATCAGAGTGACATTTAAAAAAAAAAAGCAATGCCAAAAAACCAATAAGCTTGCCTAATGGAAAACAAGCCCAGGGAGATAGCGGTGAGACTGCGAATAGCTGTCAACTCACTGGAATGATGGCAACGAACAGTGTAGAGAGGACCCAGGACTGGATGTGCTTTCTTAGGGGAGGATGTGTGTGTATGAGGGTCAATCAGGGGAAGGGGTGATTTGAAATTTAATGTACTTGAGAGGAGGTTACAGGAGGGGTAGAAGAGGTGAAGTTCACCATTATATTAATTTCTTGGGAAAGCCACAGTAGCAGAATTTCTACTCAACATGGAATCTTTAAATTCTACCGTTAAACCAACCCAGAACTCAGAAAACACAGACAAAGAAAAGCTGAGACGGAGTCATTTCTGTGAGCTAAAATGCTTTGTGGAAATTGTAGGCTGGCATGCATGCCCTCTCACATGCTGTTCTCCGTTTGGCTTTGTGTCTGGGCTGTAAGCTGCATTGCTTTGTTTGTGAGCTTGCCATTCTGACTACCTGTCTACACTTCCTGTCCATCTCATCCTTGCTGAGAATGACAGGAGAACATTCCATGTCCCTCCTCCCAGGAGATGCTGCACATAATCATGGTAATCATAATGGTCACGACTGGTTATGGAGTGTTTACCCCACCACCACCCTACCCACTGTGTAAAGTACTCTGTTATCATTCATGGGTTATGTTCAAACTATTCCATGCTATAGCTGGATTTTATTTCTATTTATTTCTATTACTTTCTACGTCTTTCACATGAGAAGCCAGAGGTTTAAAAATGTTAATATGGTCAGTGTTCTACAGACTCTAAGAGGTTGGATTGGTTTATGCTAAAGTCTGTGATTTTTGACCTTTTGACCATCATATCATATTGCTTCTAAGTACCCTTACGTGGTAATGGAAGAAGCCAGAGTGAAGGGAATTTATACTGTACCATGATCTAACTAATATTCCTTAGCATGTCCATAGGGGAATTTGACCAAGCCCTAATTAGGGATGTTTTACATATTACTATACATGAAACGAGGAATAGTAGCATTGCTTGCTAATAATGCCTAAGAATTAAATAATTAGAGAATGGTGAATTTTCCATTTATTAGCTAAGAGGTGGTGACCTTGTTTGATATGAAGTTCTTCCCCCTCACAGATGACATAAGATACTGTAGGGCTTATCCAAATGGTAGAGAAGGAAGTTGCATGCTCAAGTTGATACTGATAATGTCTCAGCAACCCCTACCATCAGTAGGGAAGATGGAAACACTAATTGCTGTTTCTGGCTACCCCCATGGTACTTTCTATGCCAGTCATCCCATCATAAGCAAAGGGTGGGCTGGACCGCCTGTGGAGGAGGTGAGCCCACAGCTGCAAGAGGCTTTTCTCTTGTCTTCATGTCCTTGGTAACTGAATAATTGTAGTGTATTATGGTTGGCAGAATCTAAGTAACAGAGACTGACCTGACGCAAAGTCAAAGACTGCTCATCTAACTACCCATGATGCTCTGCTGTGCAAAGTCAAAGATGCAAAGTCAAAGAGTGCACATCTAACTACCTATGCTACTGTGCTGTGCTGGGCGGAGTGCCCAGATCACTCTGTGGTGCCTGCCTGCCTGCCTGCTCCCTCTCTTTCTCTTTTTGAGACAGGGTCTTTTTATGTAGCCCCAGCTGTCCCAGCAATTGCTATGTAAAAGAGGTTGGCTTTGAACTCAGAGAACTGTGTGCTTCTGACTACCAACCCCAGTGCTAGGATTAAAAGTGTTCACCACAGTGACTGGTGCCACATTACCTCCAGTTTTATACACACACACACACACACACACACACACACACACACACAAACACTTTCGCACATGCCACTTCTTTCTGTACAGAAAGGAGTGTGTGCTGTTTGGGGGTACGTATTTTCTCTCTCTCTCTTTCTCTCCCTCTCTCTCTGTCTCTCTCTCCTCAATCTATACATTTATAAACACACACACACACACACACACACACACACACACACACACACACACCACTTCTTATCATACCAAAAGGAGCGTGCTTTGTTCATGAGTCAGTGTGGTAGAGGATCAAGAGGCTGACTTGCTTGCTGGGTTCATGAAATGACCGCATTGCAGCCCATTGTGCCTGAGCTAAGGGGCTGAGACAATTTCTCCATCCCCAGACATTAGTTCCAAACCTCAGTTTTTCTTTTGGTTAGTGGCCAAGCAGTCTGACACATTCTGAGTGACTGAAGGACAGGAACTCCCAGGGGAGCCACGCCAGGCTTGCTCCTACGCCCTTCTCACGGCCAACTGTGGTATTGTAATCTGGGGAGTCTCGTCTTAAGTGGATACACACCTTACTTCGCTATGATGCTGACCTTTTCAGGACTGGCTATCTTGATGGTCAGTTCAATTACCATGTCTATAGCGACATTATCGTTTACATTTTGCCTTCATCTTCCTTCCCAGAGCTGAGGGCAGAGACTGGGACCCATATTCTGGAGGTCAGTCTGGTTGGAAAATAATAGAATTTAGTTTGGTTCCATGTCTCCTCATGAATAGAGATATGATGAGGAGCTCACGTGAGCCAGGAAGAAGGAAGAGACCTGTCTTATAGGATTCCCCGCAGTGCTGAAATGATCCGAGGCTTCTTAGCCACCACATCAGAGCAAGGACATACCTGGCTGAGCGTATTCTCATGTATGTGGCCTTGTCAGGCTCATTGTGCCTTCTGTTCTAGGATTGCTTGAGTTCAAAGTGGGATCTCTCCCAAAGCCCCCTACGGAACCAATATCTACCTCTATCTACATCATGGGGGAATAGCTTAATTTAGGAAGTAACCCAATTGAATATGACTTAAATCTAGTGAAGGGGGAGTTGTTTTCTATTAGGAAAGTAACCTATTTTCATTTCTCCTATGAAAACTAGGTATCTATTCCAAGGCAGTGGCTTGAAAGAGTTTCATCTATAAAATGCACAACTACTTTACACAGAAGATAAGAGGGCTTGGTGATGGCTTTCAGAGAGGTCCTTGTAAAGTTCCAGGAATGATGACCTTAAGATTCCCTCAGTGGCCATTAAAAGGACATCTTGAACAGGATGCCAGAGGTACTTCAGAGTCCGCATGGTCCAAACTGAGCTCCTCATCCACCGTAGAGCAGGATCTTCCCCTCTCTGCTGCATCCAAGCTTTCATGTCAGAAGTGAGGCTCTTCTCATCCCCCACAGACTGCCACTATAGCTCACACATCACCATGCAGCATCTTGTGACTTTTGTGTGAATTTACTTCCTTTTCTCTATGCGTCTCCCACCGCTTTCACTTAATCTAAGCCCTCGGCATCCCCTAAACGGTTTACCATCACGACCTACTAACTGGTTTCTGCCCCCAATGCTGACTCTCTCCAGTTCATCTGTAGGCTGCACAAGTTCTCAAACTTGTTTGCTCTATAAATAAAACACTTCTAAAGACTCCTTTACATGGAAATCACTGGGTCACTCATAGGATAAAATTTAAGCTCCTTATCAGCACAGACCTGGCTCACTGTGACCTGTCCTCTCTGACCTAATGTACCATGATGCTGTGTCTCACCTTTACCTCTCAGCTCTTTCTTCGTCCTTTGCCCACACTGCTCTTCCTCTTAAAAATGTCCACTATATATGCCATTAATTTTTTGAGCATTGCCACGAGTCACTCCTCCACAAGATCTATATTTCAGTGAGTCTATGGATGTGTTCAGATTGACAGATTATAATTTAACTTACAGTTTTGTGTCTCTTTCTCAATTAGACGTCGATTTCCTTGGAGTTGTTACTTATTTTTGAATCAATATCTAGTCCATGGCTGGCATAGGACTACCACTTAACTTTTCTTGAATGGATCCACATCCATGATTATATGAGCACCACAAAATAGATTCAGTAGGTTAAACACACACACACACACACACACACACACACACACACACACACATTGACATGAAGTTAGGAGGACGGATGGGGAGTGAAGAGTGAATATGGGAAAATTTAGGTCCGGGAGGGAGTAGAAACACATTGTATGCATTTCAAAGAATTAATAAAATATATTTTAAAATGCTAATACTTCTTCAAGGATTAAATATTATTTTTGAATCATTTTCATGCCTTTATTCACGGGGCTTGGTAGAACTTGTACACAACGAAAATCTTTTATTGCAGCTTTACACTTTGTATATTTGCTTGCTTTAAGAAACCTAACATCTATTATTCATCTAGAATCTATTATTAGGATGGCTGCACACCTTGCACTGAATGTTATTTGTCTTAAGGGGGAGGTGAGCCACATTTAAAATCAGCAGATTAGTAAGCACGAATGTATTTCAAGGACTATTTTTGCCACCACGTAGCAAGCATATGAAAATGAGTAACACAGACTCCGAGTGCTCCTGGCTCCGAATGTGTAGAGATCACAAAGGCCACAGCAGGGAGGAAGCTATGCAGAGGGAAATGGGCTATGGGAGATGAAGACAGCCCTTCTCAGCCGGGAGGTTTCATCACAGGCCAAAGTAACCTCCGACATGAAGCGGGGTGAGTGGGAAACAGAAGACACAGCTTGGGAACGTGAATGTGGGAAAGAGTGAGAACGAGAGAGTGGGTACGGTGGTCTCAGCTTGAGGAGTGTCTTGAATAATGGACTTTGGCATTTGGCCTTCATCCTAGGGGTTGTGGGACTTGCACTGGAGGCTCCTGGGCCAGGAACTGGGAGGTTAAAAGGAGAAGTTGAGTGTAGGTGGGAGAGCAAGCAAGGGTGAGCAGGAACATTTACAA